TTTTAATTCAGGGGTCCCCACATTCATCCGATCATTGGGTGATAAGCTCTTAGGGCGAGACAAGGCATCCGCCTCCAAGTTTGTTCGACCGGCTCAGTACTGCAGGGTGAAATCATATGCAGGGAGTGCCGCTAACCACTGGTGTCCGGCTACAGAGAATTTCACTGTTGTCTTGTCGTATGTTAAAGGGTTATTATTAGTCTTTACAGTGAACTTGACCCCATAGAGGTAGTCATGGAACCTCTCTGTCATGGCCCACTGTAATGCCAGGAACTCCTCTAGAGGAGCAGCATAGTTTCTCTCGGGGGTGTGAGAGTTAGGGTTGTGAATTCATTGTTTCATTTCCTATAGTTCTATATATTCATATTTAAACAGTATGACAGGGTAAATGTTTCGTTTTGCTGTGTGTGTGTGTGTGTGTATTCTCACAGCAAAATGACTGACCAAATATTATTTTATCAACTAGAATTGGTGAATGACATAGTAGAAGCATCCTGATTGGTTAGTGACTTAGACTGGTTAATAATTACATCACACAGTGTTTTAATATCATGTGCTGCAAAGAGCTGCAGAAGACACATTAAAGAGTAACTTATGGCACCCCAGCCTCAGTGTGAGTATCAACAGTCTATGCAAATAAGTTATATACCACTCTAGTAGCTCTGCAGTTTCATATCTGAGTGCCTTCAGATGGCTTGGGTGAATACCAGCTGTTCTGGGTGACTGTTTAATTTGTCAATTTGTTCCCAAAACTCTGTGACATTCTGTGCCTCGGGGGAACTCCCTGCACCCCCATGTTCATCCTTGTAAAATGATTGTGCGGTATCCAATGCAAAGTTTGTCATATCGGGTGTCTTCAGAAGGCTCATGATGCACTGAGCATTGTTGTTACAGGAATGTTCTAGTGATGTTATAGGTTGTAATTTCATGTATATAGTTATGAGGCTAAAAATGTGTCCTCATGGCTTAAAACAAGCCCAGGCAAAAACTCTCCAAGATCAGAGCAGCAGTTCACACCTCATCAGGGCATTTATGGGACAAACCCAGCCCAGCCTCACAGGAACAAATGACACTGGCCTAGGCAGCAACAAAGGATCTGTTGGACTCTCAAGTGAGTCACCCCCTTACCTTGGTCAGTTTGGGACTGCGATGAGGTCATGCTCACTTGATGCTGAAGGGGGGGGGGCAAAGCCAAGAGGGAAGAAAGAACATGATAAAAAAGAGAGACGTTTACCATCCTCACTCTCTCTTCCACCTCCATCTGCAGACATCACACCAAGCGACTGAAGCGTTGATGAAAGGGGAGAGCCTGGCTGAAGGGCAACCAGCCAGCCTGTGGTGAGAAGCATCTAAGTTTGTAAGGGCACTGAAAGTGTTAAGATCAGCTTAGAATGCGTTTTGCTTTTATTTTATTTGACTAAATCTGACTTGTTGTGCTTTGACTTATAATCACTTAAAATCTATCTTTGTAGTTAATAAATCTGTTTGTTTGTTCTACCTGAAGCAGTGTGTTTGGTTTGCAGTGAGTCAGAGTCTCCCCTTGGGATAACAAGCCTGGTATTGACGAACTCATATAAGCTTGCAGCACTCAGCAGGCATAACTGGACACTGCAAGACGGAGGTGTCGCGGAGTATTGGGGACCCCAGGCCCCTGCTCCCCCGGCCCCCTGCGA